AACCACAAATGTATGGTAATGAAGAAAACATACCAAACTAAATATACACTGGTGGCCAAAACTAAAGCAACTGAAATTACAAGGAGAATGAATGCCCTGTATCTCTTTTAAAAATTAAGAAAATGAGAAAGTTTTTCTTGTCTTAAATTAGGCACTTTATTCACTTTTTAAAAACCTAAAACAAAAAACCAATATCATTTTTATATAAAAAATAATGTATGGTAAAGTCAATTAACCCGATTTTGGCGTGGACAAAACAAAAGCAACTCTGTTGTATATTCATATAACCGCTGCAATTTCAGTTGTTTTTACTGTGATATTAATCGCTTTTTGCTTCCTTCGACAATTTCGCTTGTTATAAATCCATTTTGAGAAGTTTTTTACAACAGCATGTGTTTTTCTTTTCGTTTTTTAAGTACTGCCCAAAAAAATTTTAAAAATGGCTAGAAGCAAATACAGTACCTGAATAAAACAGCAAATTATCAGTGACTATGAAAACAACATATCACAGAAAATGATTTCCGATAAATATTTCATAAATATTTCTGTTATTTCATAATTATTTCTGTATACTAAGTCGTTTTTTTGAAACTGGATCAGTAGTAACAGTCTATAACGGATGAAGGCTGTGAAAAACTTCAGCCCGTACTGATCCACAAATTGTGAGAGAAATAAAAAAAAAACACCCATTTAAGAGTTCAACTGGATTGGTGAGAGAGCAATCATTGGATATCAGCTCGAGATCAGTGCGTAGACGAGTAGTGGCAGCTGGTCTGCATGCGCGTAAGACATCAAAAAAAAACCATTTATATCTGAAAAAATCAAAAAGGCTTTCGGAAACGATAATATTAAATGGAATCAAGCCCAATAGAAAAACATTATTTCTGGGATGAGTCTACGTTTAATATTAAAGGCTCAGACGTGAAAAAATTTCCGGTGAGAAGACCAAAAAATGAAGGACTCATGCCGCAGTGCTGCACAGGTACAGTGAAGCATAAGGGAGGGTCGAAAATGGCGTGGCGCTGTTTTTCTTTCTATGGACTTGGGCCAATTCATGAAATAAAGGAAGTTATGGATCGGTTTGTTTACAAAGATGTGTTGAACATCACGTTGTTCCCTTACACTCAGTAAAATATTCGGCTCATTTGGGTGTTTCAGCTTGACAATGATCCCAAACTTGCATCAAAACTTTTCTAATATTGGTTGCGGGAGTCAAAAATTGATGTTTTGTCATGGCCGGCACAATCACCTGACCTAAACTCCATAGAAAACCCTTGAAGTACCGTAGATAGGAAGATCAAGCGAGATTCGGAAATAAATAAGAACAACATTTTCTAAAGAATTCGGGGTGCCTGGGAAAGCATACCCATGGATCAAATTGAGGGTGTTATAGATTCAATGCCTCGTAGGTGTGCAGCTGCTATCAAAAATAATGGTTATGCTATCGACTACTAGCCAAAATTTGATTATTTTAAAATAAAAAATCAGAAGTTGCTATAGTTTTGACCAAGCAAAAATTGGGTCATTTTAGTTTTCTACATATTATTTTTCGTTCCGAATTATTTTTGAACTTTTATTTTTAGTTTCTTAAAAGTGAATTAAACCCCTCATTTAAAACTGGAAAAATAATTACGATTTGTTTATTTTTGTAAAAGTTACAGGACATTTATTGTCTTTGCGATTTTAGTTGCTTTAGTTTTGGCCACCAGTGTATATGTATGGGTAGAGAAATATACCTGACAGGATTCTTTGCTGCAATTAAAGTTTATTTATGTAAATATGGTTATTTATATATGTACGTACATAATATAAACACATACTAACACATATTTATGTGTCAGGTTAATGTATGTGGTGTAAAGAAGCACTGGCACATGATTCATTTCTTGGGAAATGCAGGACTGTGGAAATAATAAACTAGTAATGGTCAGCAGAACCAGAAAATATTAAGCATTATTTAAATGTTAAACAAATACATGTAGATATCTATGTATAAACAAACTCATTTGGGAGCTAACCATGTATTCCTTAAAAGTCTTTAAATTAGTGAACGAAAGAGCGCATAATGTATGCTCCTGTTCCGTGCGGAGGATGCTGAATGGCAAAAGGTGATTCAAAATTCAATTGAGAACTCCATTTCAGAATTTATATAAGTTTTGTGTATATTTTTAAAAAAGGAAGTGAACCATTTGACTTATACTTTCGAAAATGTTCTGTTCTTTATCACAATAAAATCGGGACCAAGTAGACGGTCGAAATTTATGACATGACAAAACATTTTGATACAAATGTGTGTCGCTAATTCCATATTTAACGTGAGTTAAAATTATTTCCTTCCATATTATTTGCAAATCAAACATGTAAAAAATCCGCTAAGTTCTAATAATACCCTCCACCATTTCGAAAAAAATAGAAAATTTAAAAAAAAAATCCGAAAACTACCACTTAACTGAAAACCGTTATATGGGGACTATACGAAGACGTGGACCAGCATACGAAATTTTTTGTCATAGGCTAGTGTGCCCATTACGAACCTCAAATACGAATTTTGTTACAAATTCGGTGAATAATGTCGAAAAAATCATGAAAATACGGAGTATCGGGAGGTACAGTCATATGGAGGCTATACGAAGACGTGGACCTGCAAACGATTTTTTTGCGATGAGTTGTAGTACCCATAAAGATCTTTCTATACGAAATTTGTAACGATTCCGGTGAATAATGTTTCTGAAATCTTCTAAATACCGAATATTGGGGGGTACCGTTATATGGGGGCTATACGAAAACGGCTACTGGTAAACTATGCATGTATGCTAAATTTTAGCCCTCTATCTCAATTCGTTCGAAAGATAACCTGATTACAACAGACAGACGCACATCCCTAGTTCGTCTTAGAATTTTACACTGATCCAGAATGTATGTACTTTGTACGGTCTTTTATGAATATTTCAAGGAGTTACAAACGGAATGACAAAGTTATTATTATATCGAATGATGAAAGGTGTAAAAATCACATCATACTAATTATAATAATGAGAAGGATTTTAGAATGTGCAAAATTTAAGAAAAAATCTGGAAATCATTTTTGTATTTTATAAAAGTTAAAAGAAAGTTTCAGGGAGTCCTGATCAGTATCCAATTTGGCGGCATAAGTCAAGTTCACCAAGTAAAAAAGCTGTAAGTTCGGCCAGGCCGAACCTTGAATACACTCCACCATTTGAAACGAATTTTGCAATATTCAAAAAATAAACCGTTATAAGCAACTTTAATCATAACATTCAAATGCGAAACTTGAAAAAATTGCTAAATAATGTAGCTAAAATTATCAAAATACTGGATATAGGGCTGTACCAATATATGGCGGCCATACCAAAACGTGGACTTGCACTGACAGTTTTCTGTCATAAACTGTAGTATCCATGACGGACTTCAAATACCAAATTTGAAAAAATTCCGGTGAATAATGACGCTAAAATCATCAAAATACCGAATATCGGGAGGTACCATTGTATGAGGGCTATACAAAGACCTGCACGGACAATTTTCTGTCACAGCCTGTAGTACCCGTTAGGAACTTCAAATACCAAATTTGAAACAATTCCTGTGCATAATGTCGCTAAAATAATCAAAATACCGAATATCGGGAGGTACCATTATATGGCGGCTACACCAAAACGTGGACCGATATATCATTTTTAATACGAACCATCCTAGGCATAATACAAATTGTTCTGCCAAATTTTGAAGCTCTGCGTCAAATAATGTGGGCTGTATCGTGATTTCAACAGAAAGATAGACGGATGGACAAACAGACGGACTTCGTTACATCGACTTTGAATTTTATGCTGATCCTGAATATATATTTTATGGGGTCTACGACGAATATTTATGGATGTTACAAACGGAATGACAAGGTTAATATACCCCCCTTTTCAAGGTGGAGGGTATAAGAATTAAGTATTTTTCGAAAAATTTGAATGTTGAAGACAACCGATATTTTCCATTTCCGAACTCGTTCTAGGCTTGATGGCGGTAATTGGGGGTTATATAAGGTGTTTTATTTTTATTATTATTATTATTATTATTATTATTATTATTATTATTATTATTATTATTATTATTATTATTATTATTATTATTATTATTATTATTATTATTATTATTATTATTATTATTATTATTATTATTATTATTATTATTATTATTATTATTATTATTATTATTATTATTATTATTTTAATATGAATCACTCTGTTGTCTGATAGCTGTTTTAAAAGTATAAAATGACGTCTCTATTCAGTATCTGGAAAATCAACGTGAACAAGTTAACTCCAGAACAAAGCTTCCAAATCGTTCTTAAATTAACAATGTTTATAGAATTCTCATAGTCGCCCGTAATAAAAGTAATTACCAAATTTTGCTTTACATACACTATTTTCGATGCCAAGCCAGGATACCAATGCATCCTGATATTTAGCGCAGTCTATCGGTTTTTGGAGTCATCGGTCCTTATTTCTTTAAAAATGTGGAAGGACGACACGTGGAAATCGATACAGAATTATGATCAATGAATTTTTGTTGCAAAACTTCAAGATAACGATGTAAAGGAAATGTGGCTTCAACAAGATGGTGCCACTTGTCATACTTCGGACGAACCAATAAACTTATTGAAAGAACCTATCAACGACAACATTGTTTCAAACAATAGAATGGTGAATTGGCCTCTGTGTTCGTGTGAATTAACGCCACTTGATAATTTGGAAACCAATATTCATCTTATCATTGCCGAAATACGCCCTAAATGCTTGAAAAAAATTGGACTTCCGGAATGATTTTTTGTGCAAAGTAGTTGTGTTGATCATATGCTCGAAATTGTATTAAAATGTAAAACTAGAAATTATCTATCAAATTAGTTTTCACCACTTCATAATTTGACATGTGCTTTTATTTAAATTTTAAATCAACAAGCTCTAAGACAAAACAACCTTTGGCAAGAAAGTTCATTCGTCCAATCGGCTGATAAGGTTATGGCAAAGGTCTTTTATTGTTTGACTGTCTGCAAAAGGTAAATTGCATTACAGTTTCAGAAGATTATATTAAAAAATAAAAATATTTTTGAAAAACTAACTATTCTCTTTCATTGATAGACTAAGACGTTTCCGAACCGCCCTCGTATATTCAGGGTTACAGATTTCCTGCTGCAGAACTTTTTATCTATAGCGAAAGTTCTGTTAAAACATTCAGCTAAAATATCAAGTATTCAAAGATAACGCTCGAAACTTTAGAATTAAATGCCTAAAAATACCGAATACAATGATTTGCCACAGGTAGTAGAACGCTTTACAAACTCTAGGTATGGAATTTAAAAAAATGCTGTGGAAAATGTTACCTAACTAGTCTAAATACTAAATAATTTCCATAGTTTTAGATCCAACTACATTAATCTTCGATCTCATTATTCCACACACCCCACATACTCACACGCCTGTGAGTACATTAATCAAATATCTCATAAGCTATCAATAGAAATGGACGTTTCCAATTACAATATCATCCAATTTACAATTTAATGTCATTCATTCATCTTCCTTTTTCATTCTGTGTGTATGTGTGTGCGTGTTTGTGTGAGTGCGTGTTCTCTGTGATATCCACTGGCATTATGACCTTTCATTCAACACTCCATAAGATGATTAATAAATTCCAAAGAAAATTACGAAACTGACTTAACACGAGATAACGCAACGCCAAAGGAAATCATATAAGACCAAGAGTGGCCATTCATTGCTTCACAAAGTGTGAGGTGGTAGGTTAATGTCAGTGATAATGCTGTCATTCAAATCGTTACTATGGAAAACTCATTAGAGAAAATTCAATAAACGTATGAGTGCGTGTTGGGTTGGTGTTCACAAAAGGATAACGGATTTTGTGTGAATACATGTGCTTCTGCATTCTACAAAAGATTGTAGCTATGTACATAGCTACAATAATCTACATCACCATTGACGTAACCACAAATTCTCGCTAAATCTTTTGTATGGGGATATGTAATTAACCATGTCAATAGATGTGTGCCTATTAGCGTGAATAATTACATGTTACGTATATGCCTGTCGCGGTGCTTTGAGTTTACCTATTTTTAAATACTTAAGTTAATAAGGGATTCGCGGAAGGAAGTTACATCAACGGTATTGGAAAGTGGACACCTTTAGGGCATCTTTAATTCCATGGCATAATATTTGTCTCCCTACTGTAAATGCAATTTGTTTAGTATAATGTAATTAAAGTATGGATTACGCTTTCTAAGTAAGGAATACATCGTACCGGACAATTCTTTCTAGTACCTCGCCCATAAAATTCAAAATTTTACAACGAATTGCGGGAATTCAGTTCAAACAAGGCATATCTTAATACTTTTATAAGACTGGCTTTTTTGTATGCATTCAAAATATTATATACGAAAATTTTGTTGTTTTTATATAAAAGTGAAATAATGTCAAGAATTTTGAAAACGTATTTACTGTAATGTTTAAGGATATACAATATTTCTTTGTTTATCCTTCAGGAGCGTAAACAAACAAATTGTTTGGCCTACCAACAAGTGAACATGCCACGTACTGCTGACCATGAGAGAAGAAGAAATAAGCTAAACTCAATCCGCATACACGAAAATATTATCCTTGGCAGTTATTAATGTTGTCCTTGGAAGTTATTTATATAGCTCCCACATGACGGTACCTCCGTTATTTTGATCATTTATGCCACATTTTCCACGTATTTGTCCAAAATTGCTATTTGAAGGTCATAATGGGTTCTAGCTCCTGTGGCGAAACATTGTACGTATTGGCCCACGTTTTCATATAGCCCCCATATAACGGTACCTCCCGATATTCGGTATATCGACGATTTTTGGCACATTTTCCACATATAACGATGCCCTCCGATATTCAGTATTTTGATAAACCTAGTCACATTTACCCACGAAAAAGTGTTTCAAATTTAGAGCACGGGCCATTAAAATTCCATTAAATTCCAAACAGTGCAAGATCTTACACCGCAACAGAAAGAAAATAGACTCAAAAGAGCTAAAGAGTTGCTTCGCTTGGCCGAAAGTGGTGAACTGCCGAATTTGGTTTTCTCCGATGAGAAAACATTCGTTATCCAGCACTTTGTAAATAAACAAAATGATCGTGTTTACTTGCAAAGAAGTCAGCTGAAATGTGCACCTTGGGTTGGCCACCAGAACTCAAGCGCCGGCCATGCTGATGGTGTGGGCCGCCATAACAGCCGATGGTCGCTCTCCGCATCATAATAAATGCCGAGGGTATATTAAAGCCTTGGACACGCAAACATTTTGGCCGCAGACCTTGGACATTCCAACAGGACTTAGCACCAAGTCCTTCGCCGGGAATAGGCCACAGAGCAACATTCGGGAAGCGTGTGACTGTTTCATTAGCCGTTTGAAGGCCATATTTCTAGCCAAAGGTGACCATTTCGAACAAATCTAAACTTATTCTAAAATTTGATTCTATTTCCGACATTTTTTGCTTTCATTCAATTAAATTAGAAAAAAGTAAAAAATATCGCGTATGACTTCGTTGAAGTTTTTTTTGTCCCACCCTGTATATTGACAAAATTTATTTTTAGACCAAATTCCGTCGCACATTCCAAACATTGAAATTGGAGATACATGGTGTGTTCGGTGCATTAAATACATGAAATCGGCCGCATATATATGTGGGTGCTATATCCAAATCTGAACCGATTACTATATAATTTGTCTAATTTATTTTAGTTCCGAATTCTGTTACACCGTTCTTACTTCATTGAAATCTTCCGAAAATATATATGATACCTATATAAAAATCTGAACCGATTTCAATATAATTTGACAATTTTATTTTTATACCAAATTCGTTACACATTTCCAATTTTATTGAAATCGGAGATATATAGCGTTTTTGGTAAATCAAATACATGGAATCGGACGAAAATATATATGGAAGCTATATCCAAATCTGAACCGAATTCAATACAATTTGACAAATTTATTTTTGTACCAAATTCCATTACTCTTTCCAAATTTGAAGACTGTATCTATAACCGATCTATAGATATGTGCATGCAAAATGCATGTTATATCTCCAGTTCCAAGTGGAATTTCAACCTTTTTGTAGCCTATGTTGCTGTCAAGCGATGTTGTAGTACTTTCTATTTTTTCGACTTTCAGGAAAATATGTTTAGCTGGTTTTAAGTTCATAAATTACAAACAAACGTACAAACAGGCTAAATGCACTTTTCAACTAAATCTGTTATACACACATACATAAGTGTGTTATTGTTTTATGTGTCTGTGAATGTGAAAAGATAATAAAATAATGGCTAGCTATCAATCAAAATGTTTTTCCATAGAAGAAAAACACATAAAAGTGATAGAGATTCTTGTGGGTGCATATGGATAGAAATATCGTCATATAACCATACCCTGCCCATATGGGCTTATGCGAAATGTCCACGCCACTCCTACTACACTTTTTCAGTTGTAACTCAATATATTCTGTCAAATTAGGAAATGTCATGCAATATGAAAAAATGGCAAAAAATTAACAAAATATATCACAAAAAGTAAGTTAAGTCTATAGTTCGTCTATTTGATACCCTACAGCACTACAATTTGCGGTAAAAATTCTGCAGATCTGAAACTCTTTTAACTAGAATGAAGATTTATTTGAGAAACATCACCATATCTACTATATAATAAACCAAATGTTGAACCTGATTTTTCCAATTTTATAGATCTGGATCGATATTTAAAAAAATCAGTAAGGAAAGTTGAAAAATTGGGCAGGGCCGACTACATGATACCCTACACCATTATCCGTATTTAAAAAGTTTGTATTGGGAATTTGTGTGAAGTAGATCATGCCAACTATGTACCTTATTTGATTGCGTATCATGGTTTTAGAGGAGTCACAATTTGGGAACTATATCCGACTTTGAATCGATTTTCAACAAATTTGAGATTTTGTACCTCTAAATTTGATCAAATTTGTTTCAATATGAAAAAATCTATTCAATTTGGTCTGATATTACATATACAGTGGACAACAATCGTAAAATCGTATGAAGATGTATATCCAAGATATGTAAAAATCTGAACTGATCTCGATAAAATTTGGCAGAGGTATTTTAAAGCTGTCTGGTGTCAAATATCCTTGTTGTGCAGTGCATATTACACATGTTAGGGACTTTTACGCCAAATCGAATGAAACATTTCCGATTTTCATCAAATTTGAAATACTTGGTTCTAAGATTATTCCGTCGGAATTGCCAAGATTCAGTTCATTTGGACTGATATTAGCCATTTGGTGCACAATAACCTAATATCAGATACAGATATATATGGGAGCTATATCCAAATCTGATTCGATCTCCATAAAATTTGATAGAAATATTTCTGGAAAGTGATTCTATGAAGATCCCCAAAAGTAACAATGGGTCTATCTTGATTCCTTCTCTCTGTTACAAACAAGGACAAAATACCCTTACCAATATGTGGTGTAGGGCATAAACATACGATCAAAAAGGCATCGTTATTTGACGAAGCAGATGTTCTTCCTACGAAATTCGCTCTTTGGCTTGCAATTGATTATATTTTCATTTAATTCTTGATATAATGTAACATAGTCTTTTTGAAGTTTTGTCTTGGCTTTTGACTGAAACACGAGGTCATGCAAATCTTCTTAGTATATTCAGGTCTATGTCATGTTAATTGGTATTCAAAAAAATAATTGAAAATTTTCCTCTGTATGATTTCCTGTATCTCCGTTAATTGCACCTATTCGTCAACGAAATACGCATCTGAGGTGCGACTTTCATGTATTTTTAATTTCGCTAATTTTGGTATTTCGTTACAAAAAATGGTGGTCCATTTCACCAATTAATTATTATCCGCCGACCACCCAAAATGTTAGGCGTCAGACTTGTCGTAAATTCCAATCTAACTAATTATTTCATATCTATTGGTCCTCAGGCCAGAACTGTAAGGCGACTTCAAAGTCTACACAATTTTTCTGTTTTTATTTTTCATTTCATATCAAACACTAAATATTTTGCGAATATCACCCAAAACCATTCTGATCCTAACCCTACCTATGACAGAAAATTATCCGTGTAGGTCCACCCCTTCGTATAGGCCCCATATAACGGCAACCCCCGATATTCGGTATTCTCATTATTTTAGCGACATTATTCACCGGAATTGTCTCAAATTTGCTATTTGAAGTTCGTAATGGATACAGTCTAAAACACAAAATTGTCTGTGCAGGTCCACGTTTTCGTATAGCCCCCATATAACGGTACCTCCCGATATTCGGTACTTTTATGATTTTGGCACTATTCACCGGAATTGTATCAAATTTGGTATTTGAAGTTCGTAATGGATACTACAGCCTATGACAGAAAATTGTCCGTGCAGGTCCACGCCTTCCATATAACGGTGCCTCCCGATATTTTGTACTTTGATGATTTTTAGGGACATTATTCACAGGAATTGTCTCAAATTTGCTATTTGAAGTTCGCAATGGATACTACAGTCTAAAACAGAAAATTGTCTGTGCAGGTCCACGTCTTCGTAAAACCCACATATACCCGGTACCTCCCGATATTCGGTATTTTGATGATTTTTGCTAGATTATTCACCGGAATCGTTTCATATTTAGTATTTGAAATTCGTAATTGATATTACAGCCTATGATAGAAAATTGTCTGTGCAGGTCCACGTCGTCGTAGAGACTCTAATACGAGTATAACGGTTACATACGGTATTTTTAAGATTTTAACTGCATTTTTAACGGATTTTTATTTTTTCGAAAATTTCCAAATTCTTTCCAAATGGTGGAGGGTATTCAAAGTTAGGCTCGGCGGAACATACAACTTTTTTACTTGTTCTAAATTTCTTTTCTATTTTGCTAAGAGACCCTTGTGAATTGTAAAACATTGTGGGAATCCGTCGTGACGCGTCTGAGTTATACGTGGTCTTACTTTAGAGTATTATGAAGATTTCAGGATTATTTTTTGACGATTCCCCTATACGTCTGTGATAATGAATATAACTTTTGAAGGGATCAACCCAAATGACTAAATCTTTTACCCTCCTCCGTATTATGGACGGTATATTAATTCCTGTATGATTCATTTTCCATTCCACAAAGCATATAATCTTGAAATTCTATTTAGATTCAGCTATGTCCGTTCATCTGTGCTCAGATGTGTTTTAGGTCAACAGGACTTTTGATATTGAAAATGGGCTATATAGGTCCCTTTTGCATATAGCCTCCAAATAACTGCACCAACAGATGCGAAGTGTTTTGGTTGCCGTAAAATGGCTGTTTCTGTTGCCAATATATAGAAAACATAAAACTGTCCTAGGTCCACATTTTGGTATATTCCCCATTTCCCCATCAGAATTGTTTCAAGTTTGATATTTGGAAGACTACCTCCTGTGACCGAAAATTCCTTGTAGAAATTTTTTACTCGATCGGTCACACCCTACTATAGCCATTTCTTATATGATTTATTTTAATAGCATACAATCTGAACACTTCAGCATAGCAACTCCAATGGGTTTTCACAATAATGACAGGTAATAAATTTACAACAATATATAGTTAGTTGCCAACATGACGTGGCATAAACACACATATGTACATACATATCTCGGTAAAGTTGAAAATGTGTCTGGATGAATCTGTACTTACCACTACCACTATCATATGATTTGGTGGTGGAGCTGCTTGTATTGGAGCGTTTAATCTCTCGACGACCCATGTTGCTGGTTGCAATAACTGGTGTTGTTGTTGTTGTTGCTGGTGGTGGCGAAGATACAACGTTATGCAATTGAGAGTGCTGTTGATTTAACGATAAATGTTGATGGTGATGTTGTTGGTGATGCTGCTGCTGTTGATGATGTTGTCGGTGGTGTTGGTGGTGGTGTTGTTGATGCTGTTGATGATGATGTTGATAATGATAAACACTTTTCGGTGAGTTATTAGCAGATGTACAGCCTGTTGCGCCAATGGCAGATGTTGGGGACTCGTTACTAGACGATGGCCAGGCGCTACTTGCCGCTGCTAATGCTACTGCTGTTGTTGTGGCCAGCGAGGGGGCTGATAGTGATGTTACCGTTATAGAATCGTCCAACAGCAAAGCTTTCGGTGGGAATTGAAAGTAATTTATTTGCAATTGATTGATATGGGAATTGTGGGGTAGAAGACCTTTAGCCTCGTTCTCTTTAGCTTTTGTATTGGGGGTGGAGTTGGCGTTAGTGGTGGTGGTGGTTGAGGTGGTATTGGTTGCTGCTGTTTCGGCGGCGGTTGCTTGGGGTGTTGATGGGGCTGTTGCGATGCTACAAATACAATGTGGTGTAGGTGGCGGTGCTGCTGGATAAGCGTTAATGTAAGTGCTGTTTGCTGTGTTCAAGGATGACGGCTTGCGTAGTGATGTGTGTCTCAACCCTTTGACAGGGTGTAATGGATACTATCGGCCGGCAATACGAACCCAATCACGATTTTCGCTGTTATACCAAATACCTGCAACGACAACAAAATAAACAAATCAAAATTAATTGGTTTCCTCTATAATAACATCACTGATGGCTAACCCAAATAAAACTAATGAAAGAATATTTCTCATTATAGTTGTTGTTGGTTTAGATGGTCGCATGTTATTGGTAGCGAGTTCTGTGTGTTTGTGTGGGTAAACGTATATTTAGTTTTACACAAAAACGAGGCAATTTGGCAAGTTATTTCATTCACATAGCTATATGATGTCAAAAATACAAACTATTATAAACGTATTAGGCATTCATTGCAATTGAATGTAATATTGAGAGATTACATGAATTTAGATTTTGAAATAATTGATAAAAATATTACATTGTGAAACATTTAATTATTCAAGGCTAGATTTGGTTTCGCAAAACCTTTCTAAACCATATGATAAAGCAATTAAATCAGCAATATTAAATATTTCATGTGCATATAGTAATTAAATATTTTCATGGAAAATCAAAGGCAATAGTTTTCAATAGAAGTTAATAACGTTCAATTGATTTCCGAGAAGCAAGGCAAAAATGTGTTAATATTGGCTCTTTGTGTCATACACAATTCCTATTTATTTACTTTTTTTAATTATTCTTAAAATTCTACCATTAGTTTTTATACCCTCCACCTTGAAAAGAAGGGTATATTTACTTTGTCATTCCGTTTGTAACATCCATAAATGATCGTCAAAGATCCGTAAATATTCGTCATAGATCCCTAAATATTCAGTATAAAATTCTAAGTCGATTTAACCATGCCCGTCTGTCTCTCTGTTGAAATCACGATAGAGCCCACATTATTTGACGTAGAGCACAACAATTTGTATTGTGTCTAGGATTGTATTTGGTATTTTGATTCAAATTTTTTTTCACGGATTTGTCTAAAAATTGCTATTTGCAGGTCACAATGGATTCTAACTCCGGTGGCGAAACATTATATGTATTGGTCTAGATTTTCGTATAGCCCCCATATAACGGTTCCTACCGATATTCGGCATTTTCATGATTTTTGCCATATCTTTCCACGTATTTGTCTATAATTTAGAATATGTAGGTCATAATGGCTTTTAGCTCCGGTAGCGGAACATTGTATGTATAAGTGAACGTTTTCGTATAGCCCCCAAATAACGGTTTCTCTCAAAATTCGACATTTTGACGATTTTTGCCACTTTTTTCCACCGATTTGTCTAAAAATTGGAATTTGTAGGTCATAATGGGATCTAGCTCCCGTGGCTAAACATTGAATATCTAGGTCCACATTTTCCTATAGCGCAGATTTAACGATACCCATATATATTTGGTATTTTGATAATCCTAGTCAAATTTACCCACGATTTTTTTCAAATTTGGCATTTAAGACTCGGCCGAACTTAATGTTTATACCCTGCACCACATGGTGGTAAGGGTATTATAACTTTATGCATTTGTTTGTAACATGGAATAGGAAGCGAGATAGACCCATAATTACTTTTAAGGACCTTCATAAAATCACTTTTTGAGTCGATTTATGCATGTCAGTCCGTCCGTCCGTCCATGTATTCTTGTGAACAAAATGCAGGTCGCATTTATTATCCGATTGAGATGAAATTTTCCAAACAACATTTGTTTGGTCCAAGGACGAACCCTATTGAAATTGGTGATAATCCGATCAGATTTGGATATAGCTCCCATATATTTTCGGGTTAGTTATGCACCAAATGGTCAATATAAGTCCAAATGGCCTGCATTTAGGCACATGCAACCGAATTTAGTCTAGAAGCAAGTACGTCAAATATCGGGTTAATTTGGCACCAAATTGACAATATCTGTCCAGAAGTCATTAATTTTAGTACATCCTGTCGAATTCAGTCTAGAAGCCAGTACATCAATTTTGGAGAAATTCGGTACAGATATAGCTATAGCGCCCATATGTACTTTTCATCCGATTTGGTTTTTAAGTCCCGCATATTCGTAGTATGCACCCCACGAGAATGATGTTTGGTATCAGATACAGCCCAGAAATACCTCTGCTAAGTTGTATCGCGATCGTTCAGATTGATGATATATATAGGAGCTATATATATCTTCAACCAATTTCAGGTTAAATGTGCACCAAATGCCCAATATCTGTCCTAATGATCTGAATTTTGGCACATCGGACCGAATTCAGTGTAGAAGAAAGTTCATCAAATTGGGTAAAAATCGGTTCAGATATAGCTATAGCTCCCATATATATGTTTCATCCGTTTTGAGGTTTAATTCCCTCACATACATAATATGCATTCGACAACAATTATATTTGATACCAGATATGCTCGGAGATACCTTTTCCAAAATTTATCGAGAACGACTAAGACTTGGATAAAGCTCCCATATATATTCTAAATCCGATATCAAGATTATTGTGCAAATAATGGCTAATATCAGCCCAAATAGAGTGAGTTTCGGGAGGTACGTTTCCGTTTTGTAGAACTCGCCTTCTCGAAGTGATATCATGCACTCTATAGGAATGTTATATGGTAAAAAAGATTAAAATTTCTCCGTCAAATTTAATGAAATCCGATTCAGAATTGGATATATTTCCTTTATATTAGTTTCCTCCGAAACCAAACTATAACTGCTCTAAAGCCATATGTTGATAGTTGGTATGATCTACATCAAATATATTCTTTTTTTACAGGAGCTCTACTAAATATGCATAGTGCCTGACTTTTGATTTTTCCTTACAGGTTTTCTGTACTCACACTCCTACCGAAGTCATCACTTTTCATACACTACTCGTATATAGCACGCATTTACAAGAACTGTGTCTTGTATAACCCACAGTTACCCTAATGTGAGAATTATATTCCTGCATATATAAAAATTTGGTTTCATTTCGGATTTTTTAAATGTTACGCCCGTTATTGGAATTTCTAAATTAGACTCCTCATCTAAATGCAACTCATTCACAGTTATATTAACATAAAAAAACATATTACCACATCTATACCCATGCTATTGCTAAATTTAGTACCATTTAGTACTTTTCGTAAACTTTTTATATACATTTCCAGAAAGACCTTTATCAAACTAAATTTTAACATTCCACCTATTTTAATTCACCCAAGTTTTGTACCATATAGTACAGTTATTACACATAATTCACATTTCCAAAACCACCTCCTTATATCAACCATACTTTATAAACTAAGTTCTGATAGTAAATTTTTTACCTTAACTTTATCCATAAAACGTTTGTGTCATCAATTCTATACAATATCAAAGATCCTCATCACAAATTTCAGATTTCCAACTCTATCCCTTCCTTAAATACCACATTTAATACCATTTAGTACTTTTTGGTACTTTTTTTTTTAATTTACTTCAATATATCAACCTCAACTTAGTACTTTTTAAACTGTTTATAACATATTTTCAAAACCAGATTCACATTTCAACCATACGCATTAACAGTCACACCAATATCAAAATTTCAAATTTCAAGCTCCATCCGTTCACTTAAATCCAAAATGTACCAAATTTAGCACTTCCTGCGTGTCTAGTGCAGTGGACATTAATACAAGTACATGGCTAGGGTATACATGAGTTATGCGGTTCACATGCAAAGATTAATTAATACACGCCCTTTACCTATGGAGAAGAAACATAAACGATCGAACATTTGTTGAACTAATATGACATAATGTTTTACAAAGGATTTAGGGTGAGCTCACATCCCATTCAGAGGTGGAATCGACTCTTATCCTCCAACTAACAAAAATCTTTAATGAACTCTTTCTAATTCAAATTAATAAAGATTCCTCTATAATCCTTAAATTTAAACAGAATTTTTTTTATCAATTTTAATGCATGTAAAGTAATTTCTCTAATGGCCAATAATCCGTATTTTACTCGCATAGTTCGATATGTATTAATAGAACAGTATACATGCATATTTAATTATATTTCCATGAACGGGAACTTTACTAAAATGAGAGGTATTTTAATTTTCTCAAATCTCATTCATGATGTGCTAGTGTGTCCATATGTTTATATAAGCCATGATGTCTTAGAATTCACCACAAATAAGATATCTTATAATTATCTTCACATGCACATATTTCAAAGAGTTTCGGCACATTATACTATCTGGCATTCGACAATGCCTTTGAAGAATTCATTAATTTGCTACTTCCTTTATGCATGACGGACATTTTCATATGGAAATTATTGACAAGCAATGGTCGGTTGGTTGGCTGGAAAGTAATAATTCATAATTCTTTTATGTGTGTGTGTATTCTTTCATATAAATATAACCATTCCCTGTATAGACATGCATGTATATATATTCATATGTATATTCACAGTATTAAATATTTTGACATTTATTAATGTTCAATGTCGTTATCGGAAATATGCACATTAATTAAATGTTGTAAAATCTCCATTTACATGGCATTAAATTTACATTCAATTTAACAATGTCTTGGGAATTAGTTGCTCTTTTCATTGTGTCACTTTGGAATTAGGTAATAAATTTTAATGTCGATCAATTTTTATTGAAATCATTTCCATTGTTTATCCTTTAATATATTGGATATTAGGATTGACAAGTGACGTTTGGTATTTCCACACATTATTTATTAAGCTAATTAGGAAATTTAAAGTACAGACAAATCTTGAGTATTTTACATGTGTAGACAAACACATATTCATACAAGAAGTTAAATATTCAGGTGAGTGGAAAAAATACATTTAAAATATATTGCAAATTATGAGTTCTAGAGCAAAACTATTTCTTAAAAGACACTAAAACTTATATATTGCCACGAAGTTTATTTATTTTTCTCGATTTAAAAAAATATAAAAAATCACACAAAAACTACGAAAAGATTATATATAAAACTAGCTGAACCCGGTGTGCTTCGCTACCCCTTCTGATTTGATATGCATTCAAAATTGTATATACCAATATCTGTTTTTTAAAAAGTAAGACCAATTTAAAAATTTTAAAAACGTCATTATTGTAATACTTTTTTAACAAACACACAGCTCGGCCTTGCAAATTGGAGGTACATTCCGTGTTTGGTGCATCAAATATGTGAAATCGGCCGATAATATATATGGGAGCTATATTCAAATCTTAACCAATTTCTAATTAATTGGTCAAATTTATTATTAGAACCAAACATTGTGAATTTCATTGGAACGGGACATAAATATCGAGTTTGATGCATAACATGCATGAAATCAGCCGAAATACAGCGTGAGATTAAAAAACTGCAACAATCTTCAGACTGCTGTCATTTCAAAATCACTCGTCCGACAGCTGTTAAAATTATCCCAGTGACAGCTCAAAAGTATTTTGGTGAGAATTTTCCAGAAAAAAGTTATTCGTGATGGTATTTAATCGTTATAGTGTGATTTCTTTATATTTGGCTGGAAAACCACAAGGGGCTATCGTTAGAGCACTCCAGCATTTAAATGTGAATAAATATTTTGTGTCTAGTTACCGTGATACTGGTAGCGTATGCCAACGTCAAGGAAGTGGATGGAAGGAAACAGCAACATAATCAGAAATGTTTCGAAAAGTAAAGAAGCCACTTGATCGAAACCCGAAGTAGCCGAAAAATGGCTCGTGAGCTGAACATATCGCAATATTCTATTCGGCAAATATTGAAAAATAAGCTCAATATAAAGCCATTGAGATTCCAAAAAGTGCAAGAACTTACACCGCAACAAAAAGGAAATAGACTTAAAGGAGCGAAAGAGTTGCTTCGCTTGGCCGAAAGTGGTGAACTGCCGAATTTGGTTTTCTCCCATGAGAAAATATTCGTTGTCCAGCAGTTTGTAAACAAACAAAATATCGAAAAAATGGAAAACTGATATATTCTTGCATGTTCTGGAGTGGAGCAACTATCAATTTTTATTGAAATTTGTTTAATATTTCCATATAAAACTGTATGTATTGCTTTGACGGAAGCTAATATGGGTGAATACATGTGAATAGTAGGTTGCCAATGCCAACTTGTTTGTTATTACAACAGTGTTACTACGCAATTTTCTATTCGAACCCTTTTTGTCTAAATATATCGGCTTACAGTAAAAAATGTGTAATATTTTGGGCTCCTCTAAAACAACTGGTTACATATTTCCCTCCAATGTCCATCACATCACACACATTACCAGAACGAACTCAGAAGCGTAACTGCCTGAAAGTATGCTATGGTTTACCAAAGTAATCACATTAAGTTCTATGTCGGTTGCATTGTTGTTTGTTGATTTTGTTTTGCCTCTTTATTTACTGACCAACTTCTCGCTAAGTACTTCGGCTCTCCATGGACACATACTCAATTTGATGAGTTGGTACTGTCGCCGGAGAGGTACAACATACAAACTGACATGCATATGTGCTTGACAATTCTGATATGTTCATAATTTTTGCTGTCAGTAACAGTTTGTGTAACTGGTAGGATTTTATGGAATAGAGATGCTCTACAGAAAAGTAGCAATAGCTTCTTTAATTGACGTTTTCAAACTGCGTTAACTAAACGAAAATGTTTGAAAATATCAAGCGTGTATTAATTCGAAAATTCAAACTGAATTTCATCAGTATGTATGCCACGCACTTAAAATTAAGCTATGTTTGGTTGACAGCAAAAAAAAAAAAAAAGAAAACAAATAAAAAACTTAAAAAAAAACCTGTTTACTGAAAAGATCAGAAAATTCGTATTCTGTGACATCATTTCGTTTCACTGGGATATTTTTGCTGCATGCAAGCTACAGTTGGTCCTGCAACATTCATCTGCTTAAGTGTTTATTTATTTATTCTAAATGTATCCGTTGCATTCTCACAACAAGCATTTGTCTTTTGTCTAAACAGTTTAGTTTTGCTGGCTCCGGGTGGGTCCACAATGTAAATGTGTTTTTAATATACTTGCTGACCACAAGGTACCAGACACGGTAGTAGTGTAGTGCCTCTGCCAGCCCCTAGTAGCTTCGACAACAACAAATCTCCGCCTTTTATTGCCACATTGTGGAAATGTTGTTGAATATTCTAGAGATGGTTTCTTGTTATTGTTGTCGTTACGATGCGATGCGATGCGATGTGACATGAGCATGGAAACTCGATTCAGGTAATTCCGAGATATTCTATTTTTGTTTGTCCTTTTTTTAGTTTTGTTGTTCTATTTTTTTTTATTAAAATGCAATCTCCATGGGAGGGTTAGTTGGACATTTAAACATTTATGCAAATTTATAGCTTTGGATGAATTTAATCGTTTGTAATATAACCGCAATACATATATTCTGAGGGGAATTTAAATAAGTAAATGCATAGTGTTGTACATTATTTATAATTGCATTCCTTGGATTCAGAGAGTATAATACTATAACAAACTATGAGCTTATATTTTGTTTTGAGATGATGAAATTGTAACTTTTGAAAATTCATGCCATTGTCTGAAAATACATGCCTTTGTCAAAACGTGCCTAGTCGAAATAACGGTTTTAGACCTTAGGTCTCTTTGGACCAAATACGTTTCAGGACATTTGAAGTCGATCTAGCGATGTCCGTCCGTCTGTCTGTCTGACTGGTTCTCTCTGGCTGGATTTGGTCCAAACTTGGTCCACTCCTTCTGGTTCCTCCCCCACAAAATGTCGAAATTTTCAAAGAAAATATTTTATTGCAAAGAAAGCGAAAGCGATTTTGCTTCAACTTTGCAAATCCTAATATTTGCGTCAGTGCTAAGTCAGGTGCGAAAATGGACAATATCGGCCCGCTTCTTCTGGTTCCTTCCCCAAATTTCATACATCCTAATATTTTTACAAACCCAAGGTCTGGTGTTAAAAATTAAAATTTTCAAAAAAAAAAAAAAAAAAAAAACAAATTTCCACAGAAAGAGAATCAATAATCCGATTTTGCTTCAACTTCTAATATTTTCCTCAATTGCAAAAATGGATAATATCGGTTCACTCCATCAAGTGCTTCCCTCACAAAGCGTCAATATTTTAAATAATTATAATCCTTATAAAATGTGAAGTGAGAATCCGATTGTCTTAATATCCCAACATCACATCACAATATTTTTATAAACTCAAGATCTGGTGTTAAGATAGAATATATCGGCCCACTCTTTCTGGTACCTCTCCCACAAAAGGTCGAAATTTTGAATATCCATTATGCTCATATAACGTGAAATTAACATCCGATTTCATTTGGACCAGACACATCTGAATATTTCCATCTACACAGGTTTTGTTATAAAAACGGTAGAGATCGGACCATTCCTTCCGGTACCTCCCCTACAAGATACAAGGTTCAAGATTTTGAAAAACAAAACGCTCAAGGAAAGCGATATAAGCATCCAACTCTCCTCAAATTTCAAACATACAAACATTTGTGCTAATACAAGATCTGTTGTGAAGATTATAGATATTTGTGAACATCTTCTGGTACCTCACCTATTAAGGGTCCCAATTTTCAATACTTTTATCTATCATAACTTGCGAAACAAGTCAGCGACTCTTTACAACTTCCCGTATCTAAATATTTCTCTCAATCAGAAACCTTATATGAGTATGAAATTTATGTTTTCGCATAAAATTGAATATAATTATTAGATTTTCTTTTTATACCCTACAACACTATGTGTTGGGGGTATTATAAGTTTGATTTGGCCAAAAATTATGTAACACCTCGAAATATTGATTTCCCACATAGGAAAGTATATATGGATCTTCCTATCTCGCCGAGTTGAGTCGTTCGTCCGTCTGTCCATGTTAATTTGTAATCACTCTACAGGTCGCAATTATGGCCCGATCTTCACGAAATTTAGAATGGAGGTGGGGCTAGGGTCAGAATAGAACCCTATTTCTTTTGGAGATGATCGCATAATATTTAGTGGTCGAAATGGACCAAAAACTGAAAAAATGTCCGATTTTGCAGTAGCTATACAGGTCGCAATTAAAGACCAATCGACGTGGAACTTCTCATGTAGCTAGAATTTAGGGCGGGGAAGAAGCCTACCAATTTGGGTGGTCATCGGATAATATTTAGCGGATAAAATAGACCATATCTTTTGTGTTGAAAAAATTCAAAATTTTTCATTAAACCGCGAATATTTTTAATCCCGGCAAAATCACAAAGCCATGACAAGGTTACTTCTGATCTTTACATTGATATTAACATCCAACAAAACGGATATATAGCAAAATATGTGCGATAAATATGTCTATCAAAGAAGATATGCTTGAAAGATCTCTTATATGTCGAGAACGGCTGAACTGATTTCGACAGTTCTCATTAATTCAGAATGGCCTCTTGGCAGGAAAGAAACAACGTCTAAAAAATCGCATAAAAATATCTCTCTAAAGATGAAAATATTGATTTTGTAAAATTTTCTCATATTTTTTTCAATTTTGTCACATTTTTGGCATATTTTCATTTTGAATTAAACATTTGGTAATATTTCTACAGCTAACAAAACTAAGTAGTTAGGATATCAGGAT